CTTTAGATGAATATTTCTTCTTCTTCATTGTCGCCACAACTTTTACGCTACTCATTGAAAATATATCTAGTCGGATAGCATACCTGCCAAATAGCAGGTAACCGGATATACAAACTACGGCCTTAGAAATGTTTTCCTCCTGCCAAATATCGATTATTCTGTCATACTAGCCAAGACGTGAAATAATGCTAAGGAATTGTTGGCTCTTGAACGACATTTTTTTTAACAATAATTCAAAACTACCCATAAGTGTTCTCATACCGCTTTTGTTTGTGCCAGAAACCCAAATAAAATATATTTTTATTAGTTTTAGTAAGTACGCATCTTCCTCCTAGATTGCTAGAACCTCTACCTGACAAACATTACAGTAGTCAGTTACAACACTAAATTTTTTGAAAGGACTTCAAAGCTTAATACTGTCGTAATAAAAGTGTAGCATTCATATTCTTTACGAGATAAGTGTTTTCTATTTAGTTCTCGGCTGAATACGCATCTTATACGGTCTGGAAAACTAACAAATTTGTAAAATTTCAAACTGGACCGAATGTCTTTCGCACTATAGCACTATACTTTTAATCTCAACTTGTTTTCTAATGAGGTGCAACGACGGGGTGTCTAGGTATACCTTTTGTACTTTATTTGGATTAGACTCCAAAGCATTAGCAATGTAAAGAAAATGTGTTTGTTGAACCTTATTGAGTAACTTCAGCTTGAGCTTTAACTTGTTTTAGTCACTGATTTGTTAAAATTACCAGTATTATCATCTTCTTCCTTATCAAACTAACTGTTTCACCAACAAATAGAAGCAGCAATAAATTTCATTTCCCTTAGTTTATACCCAGCGAAGAACTTTTGTAACTAATTTAAACTTTATTTCTGCAATATAGCCTACATCTTTAAAGGATTTTACTAAATGCAATCATGGGAATTGCAGCTTGTTGTAATTGAGTATCTAGAATACTTAGAACATGAATCACAACATTCAATTCATTTTTACTTTGTGGAGTTATCAATTTCATTTTCTTATGAGACTCGTACAGTCCATCCAATATATAATTATCATTATAATCAATTCATAAAACGGACTCACAGCAAAAAGCAATGCAAACATTGTCGGCATTAAAGTGGAATTACATGTTATTTCATAGCTATAAAAACAAATTTCAAATTCCTTCCAACATTCTGCTCCCACTGCCTGCACATACGACACAACTTCGAATTGGCAAGAGTGCAATTTTTCTTATATCCGTTTTGCGTTTTAACATTCTAATGTCGGAAATTCTGTGTGAAAAGTCCGCAAAAATAAATTCTGCTTATTTAAGAATTTATCAGCCATTTCAGAGGAGGAACATGTTAGCACCAAAATGTAAACCTAATCAAGTGTAATAGTTTTTAAGTGTGTGTAACTGCTCCTGGCCAACAGACAACGGACACACAAACACCCATGACTGCAGCAGCGACTGACGGTTGGCATGCCAGTTATTAACAAGTCCTACTTTAAAGCCAAAAATAAAGGATGAGTTTTTAACATTAGCTAGTTTGCTTGGTTTAGTTTCGCAATAAAATGTTTTAATGGATTCCAAACAGGAGTGAAACTTGACTTTTAAGTGAGTTTGAGAACATTCCTTCGTTCCTTTCATTGAGCGCTGGAATTACTTAAATCAGACAGCACTTTGATTGTGCTAAAAGAACTGAAGCTCTGTTCTAATAGCATTAGGATTAGTCGAGCATGCATCGTCGTGTCACTCATGAGCTTCCCCATATATTTTTGATTAATTGCTGGGAATTTTGCCTTATTTTTCTTTTATTTTCGGTGTAGAAACTTGCAATTCAATTTTTGTGCTTGAAATATTGCGGCAAAATTTTAATATGTCACGTTGAGTGCATACAATCGAATTTACAAGCTCCAGTTCCATAATGGAATTCCTTGTAGCGATTAATAAATAAATAAAATTTGTACCGCAATATTGCATGTTGTCATCTTTCACAGTTGGGAAATTTACACTTACAAGCATGTCGTCTTTCATCCGCCGTGAGCTGGTGTTTGTGACAAACTCAGTTGAGCTATCAGAAGCAATAACCTTCCTTGTCGCGACATGCACAGATCCTATATCAACATTTTACTCACAGTTGACTAAAAACTGCAGCCTGCGGCCTTGTTTAAGCTGCACGTGTGCGCCCTCCACTACTTAATACTTGAATGAAACTAGTCCTTACTAAATGAAACTGGCTTGGCGTGTACGTATGAATTAGTTTATGGCTGTGTGTGTACTCTTGTCATATTAAACATGTTTGGTGTTTACGTGTGGGAGCGAAAGTATTCGTGCGTTTCATGAAAAATGTTAACAAACAAAAATGACAGCAAAGTAATTTAAATAGAATCCTCCAGCAAACACTATTACCACCAGCAGTCATCCTAGCACATTGCCACTGCCACTGCCACAAACCCACATACAACCGGAACTGCAAATATCACCAATGTCGGGTAAAAGAATTTAATAGACACAATGAAATGACAGCGGTACACGACTTGTTGTGACACTGGAATTTTAGTAGAGCTCATCTATAATGTTGTGCCATGCAGCAACTCTTTTATGAATGTGAGTAATGGAAATGGATAACAAATATAAAAAACAAGCGGATATATAAATATTTTTACTTTATTTGAATAAACAAGAAGAAATAAATCTCCACAGGATCTCCAGCCTGTGGCAGCAATTTTCATGCTGAACGGAGAATATTGCCTACAAGTCAAATAGTAAACATGACTGATTTAATATAAATTGTGGAACACATAAATTGCAGAATACATACTGCAACTGGTTGTGGTACGCAGGCCGCTGTGGCTACAGTATCATCTATTTGCTTAATAATAACAATTGACTTCTCTGCGGAATACAAATATTTCTTTTGAAATAACTTTTTAATGTCACAAATGATGGAAACCAATGTTGCACAAACTGAATCAATCGCTCGTATTTAGAATATATTTTTTGATGTACATATATTCAGTATATTTAAAAGTCCCTCATATGATAAATAAGTCAGCAAAAATATATGCTCTATTCCCTACAGTTCTGAAGTGTGCACTCGGTGCAAGCATTTGATAAACATGATAAGTAATATATAGTACAGCGAGGGGAATCAAAAGGATTTTGTTTATAAAATTTGTTTGAACATGAACGCTAGAGATTTTTTTCGAATGTTTTAATTTTAAAATTATGTGAGAATAGAAAAATTAATTATTTAAGTGAAATAGACCATAAACTAAAAGATTGCAAAGATGCCTCTTGGAAATACTCGTATCACAAATTTAAATTTATAAAATAATGATTTTCGTATTCCAAATAATCCGAATATTTAAATAAAAGCAAATTGCCGGACTATTCTAACTAGTTATATTAATCAATTATAATAATATGTCTTAAGTGTCAGGAAACTGATAATTGTTATGAATAACTTAAAAGAGCAATTACTTAGCTCTATTTTTTGAGCAAATTGATAGACCGATAGCGTGCAGTTATTAAAGTGGTTTAGTTAATGATATGCACTAAATGAAGACAAATAGCAAAAACACATTTTAGTGGAGAAACCAAGGACAACAATCTACATTCTACTCCTTTTTTTGACTTTTACTAATAATGTTGGAAACAAAAATCACATTATGTACCTTATCTACTTAAGTAGTATAGCTTTAGATTAATATGTGTAAAAGATTTTGTTATTCACACCACATTGATTTGATATCGTTAAAATTCCGACATATAAAAATATAACAAGCTTAATTAATTAACTTAAATAATTTAATTAACTTTTCATGGATAAATGATTATTTGAAATCATTTAAGCGTACTTATTAACTATGCCTAAATAATTTAATATTAATTTGCTAATATTATTAATAATAATAAATTTGCTAATAATATTTATTATTAATAAAAATAAATAAATTTACTGAAGCATGTATATGCATATATCATTACCAATAAAGTAATTAATATCAGTAACCTGTATCAATATTATAATAATTATTCTTAAAGTATTAAAATCAAAAAATCATAATTATGAGAACAATAATTTAATAATTGCTTGAAGAAACTTAAAAGCCAAACGGGTAAAGAATAATTATACATAAATGATAAAATATATCAGTACATATGTAAAATAATATTACTTCAATACAAAATTGAATGAAATTCACTTATAATTAAGAAATTTTCACTCTGGAAATATTTAAATTTTAATTTTTAATTTAAAACCAGTAAAATATTAAAATAATTGCTTTCTCAAAATTTACAGCACAGACATAAAATAATTTCAACAAAAAGAAAAAAAAAACTTGCAATGCAATGCAGCGAACAACGTGTGGTATGAGTAACTTTAATTGCAAACCTTCGAATAATAAAAGCAGAACAAACAACCAATAGCAACACAAAAGTAGCGCAGTCGGCTTAGGTTAACGAAGCCTACCTCAGGCAAATTAAACTCATAATTAGAAACGCGAGAGTGCAAGAGCAAAATGCCAGCGTAACGTGTCAGCAGCGCAACTAAGCAGCAGAACAGCAGAGCAGCAGAACAGCAGAGCAGCGAACCTGCACTGCAGTCTGCACTCAAGCAAGACAATATGCAAAAGCAACGAGAATGGTATTTTGTTTGTGTTTTGTTTGTGCAAAATGTACGTGTAAAATGGAAGTGTAAAATGAACGTGTTAAACTGTGTAAGTTGAGCACAGTGCGTTACCTAATAAGTAATAGGCACAGGAGTTGATATACACAACTAGAACAAACTAGTTGTCTACAAACTAGAACAGCCAATCAGTTTTTAATAAAAGTGCAGGTGGTTTGAAATTTAATCAAAATGCTAATCGCTACTAGCTAAGGTTGGGAGAAGAGTAGCAAACCTTTTGGTTTTTGATGGAGGAAATTGGTGCGCGTATAAATATTTCAGTTCTAATGTTGCTAGTCATTAGCGGAGTTAATTTCTGTCTATTCATCACTTACCCGTATGATTTTCTGGTCCCGCATTATTTTGCGTATGCAATTTACAAGAAATGTGATTACCATTCCTCCTAAAATTAAGCCAAAAACTACGATTATTATGATTACATGTTCCGATTGTCCAGCAGTGTTTTTCTGTAAGCGAAGTTTTTAAAAATTTTAATTAAATATTTCTTTTTGTGTTCATAAATTTGTGTTAAATATTATAAAAAAATAAGCGATTGAATCAAAATAATCATTATTTTAAGTTGAAACGTACATCACAACCCTCCTCATCCCAGCGGAATTTGCAATTATCACGTCCATTGCATTTGAGTTCCTTTGAAATGCATGTGGCGTCCTCACAATCGTATTCATCACTTGAACAAGCTAGAGTGAAACAAAAATAAAAATATTTATATTTATATATTTACTATTATATATATGTATATATTCAGCAGATTGCACATTGTGGCATATATACAAGCCAGTGCATGCAACATATACAAAAAGACAACTCAAATTGGAAGTAGGAAATTTTGCAACTAAAAAATAAAACAAAAGCGAAATGAACACATCACAAACCACAAACAAAGCATAAAGCAAAAAGCCAACCATTACGAAAAAAACTAAAATCTAGGCAGGTACTATAGTATTGCTTTGCAAATCCTTCATCAACTTACTATTGCCGCGATCTCTGAATGCTGTATACAATATGGAAAATTCTGAAGTGATTGCCTGTGGTTCGGCGTAGAATCTCATGTTCAAAATGTTTGACTCCGACGTAATGCCTTCACCGGCTGATCCACAAAAGTTTTTTACTCTGAAATATGCAAATTATCAGCAATGCATAACGGGATTAAATAAAACAAAACAACGAAACCAAAAGACACACATAAATATAAAAACTGGAAAATCATTTTAAAAGATACATAAACTAAAAATGATATCTTTCAAATGGATTTACAGCAAACAAATCAATCAGTACTTTATGCACATTGGCAGCTCGATTCTATTCATCTGGCAATGGTGTGCCTTGCCGGCTTCATTCGTTTTAAGCACTGCTTTTATATGTCTGTCTCAAGTCAGATGGTTTCTGTTTGTATGCATATCAAATAGTTTGTCTGTTTTGGCAAAGTAACTCAATTCGATAACTCATTCATCCATCCATCTCGGAGCAATTTATAACAACTACAATACTCTCTTTTCGTTTCATTCTATTTCTATTTTATTTCAATTTTACAAGTTAAATTATTATCCTAAACTAGAACAGCATATAATAATCCAATCAATGAAACACTATTTCACAGATAACGGATAACGGATAACGGATAACCAGTCACAATACACGACAATATGTTTTGAAATTGGCTAAAGGAATTCCGTTCCTTTAAAAGGAGTGTTTTTCTATGGCATCAATCAACATGGCAACACTTTGCAGTGCAAATAATTTCAAAAGGGTTGATTAAATGGAAATGCTTACCAGTTTGCTTTCATATTAAAATGCTACTAATGTGTATATTCACATTTCTTAGATTACTTGGTGTCCTGTGGATTTGTAGCTAATTGAAAGTGACTGATCGTATAAAACTGTGGCTTATTTACTTAAATAAATAAAGGAAGAGAATACTTGTTTGCTTAAGCCTTACACTAACATTATATAAACTGAGTTATACGAAACTTGCTCTTCTCATTGATGATTTTTGGAATGGGGACTAAAATCAAGACCTGATGATAAACATAAACCATTATGTTATAGTTTTGATTATGACTTTAATGTATTGAATAAATGGATTTAAGGCATATTTTAGGTTTCCTTCTAATTTACTTATATGTGGAGTTATAGTTGGTAGTGGTCTCATTTAACTCTGTTCAGGTAATTGTTCCAAATTTAAATTATGATGCCACTCAGTCTAAGATTCGAATGTAGATCTTTAAGGTATAAAAAAAATATTTCATATAATGCAGTACATATGTAATGATGCTATGTTATAGATACCAGTGGTAGTACAGTCATATATACCGAGCAGGTCATATATACTGTTCTATGATTGTCTGATATAGGCATGTCATTTTATACTCTTAGTGTGGCCTATGTGCTAAAGAGTAACAATTATCTTTTGGAATTGATTTTATGAGAAGCCGTAAGCCACCCCTGACCAAATTGTCGGACATATAGTTTGCAAAAACATTCATTTAACTGGCTACAAATTTTGGAGTATCTGACAAATGTACAAATTCGATGTTCTACAGTTAGTGCAATCCATGCTGTCAAATATTTTATTATAATAAAAATGATTCAGTTATTTGTATATATACTAATGCAAAGAACTCATATAAAGAATATTACGAAATTATTATACAAAATAGAGATGTTTTTCTCTAATATCTTAGGACATATGCAATAGTATTCATAAAATTAGGAAATACTGAGTGGAAAATACCATAGACACAAATTAAATAAAGTAAAATTCCCTTTAATACTGTAAAGGGAATCCCCGATTTTTTCGTAATCAGTCTTTAACGTCTAAAATGAGAGATTTTGTTGTTACATATTTTACACTTAAAATTCTTTAAAAAAGTTTAATTATGCATCAAAGCTATTTAATAGGGTTTCTTCTACTGTATATGGATTGGTGGATTTCTGTTTAAACTTTAAAGTATATTTGTTATGTAAACTTTGAAAGTTTATATTTTAATAAATAGGAAATATCTTTTATAGTTACCTACCTTAAAGGCATAACAGTTTGCTCAGGGAAAATATCTAAAAAATTGACATTGCAATCGTTTGGTTTGTTCAGTCTGAACTGCAAGAACTTGACTTGAATCTGGAATGAGTAAATAAAAAAACATTTGTTTTCTTTTACTTATAAGTAAGTGAAAAAATTACAATATATTATAATGAAACGTACATTATAATAATAAATTTTAATAACAGTTCTTCACTAAAGTATTAATGTATTGTGCTATCAAATACCTTCCACTTATCCTGGACTTGTATTCTCCATATGCAGTCCAAAGCAATTTTGTTTTTAGTGACAGTTTCCTTGATACCAGTCGGCACATCTGTTGAGTTAATGAAACCTTCGTAGCCGTCTTTATCAATGGTACAGTTCAAATCAGTGATAGGAGCTAACAATGATAATGAGAACAATATATAAAATGATGTTCACTTCAACTGATTAATTATTCAATGAATTTTAATAAGTTTTAAAAACGACATAACTAAAATTCCAACATATATAAATTGGATTCTATTCTTTGCGATAGAGGTTGAAATGTTAAGATGCACTCACCTTCACGATTGCGATCAATGAACTCGTACACGGCAGTGAAACCGGAATATTCAATACTTTCATCCGAATGGAAATGCAGCCAGAGATAACGCTCCTTTGAAGTTATTTCATCCGGAAAATCTGTACCGCAATATTTTCCAATTAAATTTGAGAAACCATATTGTCCATCACGAATCTATTCCGATAAAAACATTTTATTGAACATGCCGCATTGAAATATTCCGAAAATAAATGAATATGTATGAAAAACATATTTAAAATACTACACAAATGACAGATTGATTGAGTGCAAGATTGCTTGATAGAATAAATGACTGAAATGAATAAATGTCATATGAATTTGTCCGGGTGCATGTGTTATGTACGTGCATGTACTGCGTCACATATTTGTTGTGGGACAAATTTCTTGCTGAGTGACAGCTGATAAACAAATCTTCGCAACTGGCACTCTCTTCTTATCTGATGAATCAAAAATTGTTTTGTTCACTTTCCTAAATACATGGAACATTGACATCTAAACTGTTATTGAAGCGTTTTTCATTGTTATTTCATAATTTCAAAATTGGGAATTTATTTAAAAAGCTGAGATAACTCTTCAGGCCATTAATAATGTTAATCCTGTTGTTGCAATAAATGTCATTTCAAGCGAGGAAAAAAGGATTAAACAGTTTAATATATATTTCCATTTCGTATTCCTTTATTTTTCACATTCCTTATGATTGTATTTTATTTTACACTTCTCGGAAGCTGAGAGCTTATAAATTGCAAGCAGTGAAGGACGCGTATCTGACACAAATACAAATCCTGCACGCAGCAAACTATGACTCTTTAGTACGAATCACTATGGATGCACTCCAGCGGAGGAAATGAAAGCAGAATCCTTGACCGGGTTACAGTTGCAAACAAACTAACGAACTAACAAACTCACAATGCATTTTCAAGAAAACATGAAAATAACTGCAGTAAGTGAAGTGAAATAGCTTGGATTTTGTTAAATATACACAACAATGGAAATGTGTTGCAAGTTTATGTTCAACATGCAGCATACAAGACGCAAAATGCAAGATACAATATACAATATAATGTCAATTTATCAGATTTTAATATCATTGAAGATTTATTTCTGCATTCTTTTCACACGAGCCAAAATGCAATTTGTTATCTAACAAAATACAAATCTCTAACTTATTTTTTATTGTTCGTTCGACAAAGTGAAGATTCATCTCAGTTTGTTTTGAGTTATTTAGTGTGTTGAAATTGCATTTCTATTATGATTAAAATATTTTATGTTCTTTTGCATCCTTATATTTTATAATTTACCTCTAAAAAATCAAATTTACACTCCTCCTTGGCTTCGATATGGAATGAGTTGCGAAAATCCAGACGAATTATTTGTCCCTTCGGAGCTGAAAAGATTAAATTAAAAACAAATTTATTTATTTCAATTTCACAATTTCTCCACTTTTTAATTGTTGCAATACAAAGATCTTAGTAATCAATAAAAATGATAATATTCAATATATAATTGTGACCAATATCCCATTTGGTCAGTGTGAAACTACCAAATATCAAATCTACAAAAATTTTAGAGTAACTTAAGATGGTTCAAATGTTTATCACATATTGATTGAAAAAATCAATATGTCGATTGTCAGATTAGATGTGACTTTCGATTACACATATATCAATCCAAACCTCGGTTTTTATAATTTGATTTTACTTTTATAATAAAGACAGAGGCATAAACACGTATTGCTTTTCTATTTCTATATACATAATAGATTAAGGAAGATTACTGATGAGTTGTAATTTAGAATAGCAAATGTTTCCATTCTGTAGCAAAGTGAAGCATTTAAGATGGTATTCATTAGAGTTCAGAAAGGCTAGCAAATTCTAGCTACTTATTAGATTTTGACAGCTACATCATCGAACCGAATAAGATACTTTGAAAAACGTAAGTTAATTATAACAGTTGCGTTCTGTATCCAACTAAATGTTATACTCCAGAAGCTCTGAAAAGCATTTTAGTTGCATTTTAAGTTTAGTTAGTTAACTAGAACGGTTAGAGTTGATACCGGTAAAGTTTAAATTGGGCGTATATCGTCGCAAGTAACCGATATGTGTGTTAAAGGCACATTTAAAATATACACAAATTTTCACGGAAAACTGTCAGGTCAAATGGGGAGTGAAATCTAATCTAATTAAGACCTTCCATTGGATCGGATCTCAGAGTTGTCTTTTATATAGCGGGTAAAATAACAAAAAGATTTTTAGTTAAGTAATTTTGTGGAGATCATACCATCAGATGTGACGCAGGCAACGATAAGCTTAAGTGGCGATTACTATTAGAAATGCTCCGACATCCATAAATTCGCAAAATAATTTTTTCTAAGAACATTTATTAAATGTATCCTAGCGAACGTGTGTAAAATATGCAAAGGAATAGATAGCGGGTATAGATAGGAAAATTTGTAGATAGGATATTCTGATTCTTCATAGATTTAATTGTAAAATAATTACATTATCGCTTGTGAATAATCTGAACTTTCATTTGTGAAGTTTTAAAATCTAGATAAATTTAAGAATTTGAAGTATTCTTTAAAACAGTCAACAGAATAATGAATACTCAATCCACTAGTTATTCCAATGACCTGTTGGGAAAAGACGTATTCCCCTTTTACTATTTATTTTTTGTTTTTATGGAAATTTATACAACTTCTCTAACGAAATTCATATTATTATGAAAAAAGTAACAATTAGGCATTCCCTGAACTTCTGCTTCAACAATGTTGAACATTTAAATAAATAAAATTATTTTTCCATTGCAGTTTTCCAAATAAATTTATTTAAATGTTTTTCCATAGCAACATAATCCTTTTTTCAATTAAATAGGCATAAACATAAACTATGAGTTCTTTTACTATTAAAATAAATAAATTTTATATTCTCTATAAAATCAATTCCAGCAGGTAACGTAGCCTGCGTGGGGGTTTAAAACGGGCATCTTGGACTTTTATATCCATCATTAAATTTCTGCATAAATTACGTAATGGATGCCATGTGACAGTGTTCGATTCGATTTCAAGTGGGCGGCAGTGAAGTCAGCAGATTGCAGTGGTTTAGTTTGATTTGATTGTGTTGCATAAATTACGTGAAAGCACATGGCAATAAAATAAGGAAAAACACAAAAAATATGTAACTAAGAGTCTTCCACCATTATGCAGCACACTCTTCCTCTCGCAAACCGTACAGTATCTTCATGACTGCCGCTTAGCTAGCAAGTCCATGTGTTTGTCAGGACACAATTGAAGAGCATCGCTTAAAATCATTTATGTTAAAGGAAACCGTAACAGCAAGGACAATCGCTAAGGATAAAAATGAAATGATTTTCAGCAGCTTAACTTGTATTTGTTTATGACAATTTTACGTGTATATGTGTGTACATGTGTGTGATGTGTTTGAGTGTGTGCGAAGAAATAAATTTTATCCTTAAAATCGTCACTTTTGCTTTTATGGCAGACTAGCATCTTTAATAGAAACTCTTTGTACCGCAAAGATACGGGTAGGTTCTTGGATAAGGCAAATACGAACTCATATATGATGTTTCCTTGCATCATTGCTTTCATTTTGACATGCTTTTACACTAATAAGATTTCTGTTCTTCTTCGTCTTCGAATTTTTTATTCAGCGCTGAGCTGTTTACTTATCCTTCGAAAGGACATTTATGCGTAACAATGATTTCTTACATGAGTGAAATCTTATTGTGTGTACTAGAGGAGGTGTGTTCATGGTTTTAGAGCTTGTTCATCTGCTTGTTCAGCTTCTGTTACTTCAAGTTTAACTCAACTCAGTATGAACGTCACTATGAAATGTGATTTATTGTCTTATCCTGCTTGCCAGAGGAGTGAAAAATAGATAAATGGAAATTTTAAATTTTCTTAGGATTTGAACATAAATTTTAAGCCTCTAAATAATTGTTCCAGGAAGTGAAAAATTTAAATACGACAGAATAATAAAGCATCTGTTTTGAATTCGATTGAAGTAAAACAAATCTGGATCATATAAAAGGTGTGGGTCAAGAAATTGCATACAAGATTAAAATAACAAAATCAACAAAAATAACAAATTTTTTGTAGCCTTTAAATGACTATTAACAAAGCGGTCGAATTGGAAAAGAAAGTGACCTCAAGATTTTCATTTTGGCCGAATTCAATTCTGGCAATCGGCACAAATTACTTGAGAAGGACAGCTAAACTGGACTTTAGCAGTGAAGTACAACAAATCACAAGAAGTCTCATGCAGAAAAATCCTTCTGTACCAAACACTTGTACCTTAACTACCTTATCTGAACAAATCAGGTTTATGAAGAATGATTGGAGTGATAATAGGTCGCAGCCTACTAACCAAGCACGAAAACTGATTAAAACTATCCGCATTTAACGAGTGAAAACTATATAAGGAAGACAGAAACATCCTTGAATCACACATTAAAGTGATAAGACATAAGTATAGAAAAGATTAAGGCTTTTTTAATTCAAGTTTTATTGACTTTAGATGGGGCAAAATACAATACACAATGTAGTTTAACAGCGAATACAGCATCATATATAGTCATCATATATAATCCCGAGAATACAATATATAAATTAAGAACTCTATAACTTTAAATTATTGTAAAATTATTTATCAAAACTAATAAGCAATAACCGTTACTGGAAATTATAGAAAAGAAACAGTAAATTTTATGTTTGATTCTATCAAGTAAATGCTTCAATATCATAAGAGTACGAAATTTAATTATCTGTAACAATAAAAGACACGTATTTATTAGAATATATATCTATTAAATATTGTTCATTAACTCAAATCAAAAGATATATGAAGCATCAACTCATTAGCAAAAATCGAACAAAGTTCTTTCTGAATCTGATTGTGTTTAATTAAAGTTCAGGTTAAAACTACATCACCAATCGAACTAAGTTACTGTGCTGACAATTTATAATCAATGTGTCGAGATGCTAAAATGTTGCAAAGCTCTGCAAAATACAATTTTTATCAGTCTTTAGTTTCAATTTGTATTTCATCATTCATTCTGTTGCCAACAGAATTCTATCCATTTTGCACTTATTAAGCTGCTTTATTTGTTTTTGTTCTGGATTCTTGTTTCGCTTTAAATGATTTGTGTTCCAGATTAAAAGTACAAAAACGGCTTATATTTTTGACAAATTTTGTGGCATCTGTGAGGAGTTTAAGTGCAAATAGCCAAAAATAGAGTTACACCACAAAGTCAAAGGCAAACGCATGAAGAAAGGCAAGGCCAACGGCAACGGCAAGGGCAGAGTTCACAGCAGAGACAAAAACGGCGATGAATGACAACAATTTTGTTTGGTCTTGACAAAAATTTCTAGGCAAATCTGTATCTAATGTGGACAATTGACTCTTTAAGATGTATCTGTGTGTGCGTGTATGAGCAAATGTGGGGAAATGTGAGGAAATGGTCTGCTTTCCGAAACGCTTCAACATAGCAAACGCAAAAAAAGACAGGCTTCACAGTGCATAAATACGAACCGCATAAAGACTTCTACACAGTTAAGCTTACGCAGAGAAATGTAATTAATTGCTGATGGTATACCAGCTAAGCATAACAGGAGATGGTTGAAGTAGTGTTCTCATTCATGCACCCGCCCTACGCATATTTATATTCCAATGCTTACCTGTTATCAGTCGCGTGCAGTTGATGTTCTTAGGATAATGATTAGGATAATCAGGACTGTAAAGTTCATTTTTACCCGCTTGGCCCTCAACGAATAAACGGCACTTATCAATTGGCTCCCCCTCTGCCTGTCGAGTATAGCGCCCATATGTTTGTAGTGGTCGCTTCACTTGATTAAATGTGCCCAGAGTATGGAAAAAGGAATTGTATGTGAATTGATGCTGTTGCGTAATTGTGGAGTGATGCTTTGTTTTATACGTTCTTGGCGCCACTGTCATAACATTTGTGGGTGCTTTATTTGTTCTTGGTTTTGTTGCTGTTATTATATTTTTTGTTTTTGCTATTCTTTGTTGAGTACGTGGCTTGATTGTTGTTGTCGTTGTTGTTGTTGTTGTAGAAGTTGTTAATGAATTTGTTTGTGGCTTTTGCTGACGTCGGATCACGTTTTTGCTTGAGTTGCTTATTTTAATATTGGTTTCTACATATCGTATCTGCTGTTGTTGTTTCGTTAGTTCATTTGTTGCTATGCTTACGCCAGTTGTGTTATTTGCCACAGTTAATTCCGGCGTCGACGTCTTTGTTACTAACATATCATTACCAATAGAATTTGTTTGAATTTGAGGAAAAAGACTTGTTCGACTTGTTGGACTCGTTGTTTCTGTAATTGAAGTTGTTGTCAGTGTGAGAAGTGAAATCGGAGTGTGTGTTGTAGTTGGTATTTCGGCATCAAGTTTCGTCGAGGGGAAGTATTCTGTCTTTGTTGCCGGCTGTGACTGTGGCTGTGGATGTCTGCGATGATTGCACATATTTATAGGTAGAGCAATTGTTAAGATTTCTGTTGGAACTGCAAAAAAAAGATGAAGAAAAAGGTTGGCCATTAAAAGTAATTCAAGATTAATTTAGACATATGTTTCCTATAAAATGGAAATGTAATATTAAAAAAAGATTAAAAAATAATCATTATTTGTCATATATACTATATATATATTTATCAATAATATGTTATCCATACACCTTATGCACCAGTTTCGCTATTATATTACGTGTTGAAAGCTATTTACTTAAGCAATTTACGTGTTTGCTACCTAATTAAGAGCTCTTATTGCCATATATAATCATCACTCATACGCCACGTGTAACGAAATTAGCAACAAATGTTACTAAGAGTTCACTTCACCCCTTTGAATTTTGTATTACAAAGCATACTTTATGCAATAGCGGTATATTTAATATATACATTTGTTTTTTTTTTTTTGTGGTATACCATTACTGAATCAATTAAAGTGATGATTCCAACACTGGGCACATCAATTCACACTGAAATATTAACACCTGTAAACAATGGACGGCCACCATAAACGCTGACAGGCAACATAAACATTCATTATATTTGAATTAATCATTAGTGGCATTAACAAGGAATAAATTAACTGTTTGTTTCTGAATTCCGCAGCTGTTAAGGATTATAAGTGTACAGAAATAAGATTGAAAAACTTAACCAAAACAAAAAACCATATCAAAAATGTATTTTACGTGCTTAAAATGCTTTTACGTATTTCGCAACCAAAAACAAATGATGTTACAATTTGATATAATAAAGGAAATTTGCATAAAAAAATTGAATTTAATTCTGTAATGTTTGCTTTTATAGCATCAAGTTAAGAACAACTAAATATATAGTTGCAATGGGAAAATATATATCCGCATCTTGCTGTAGTGCACCATAAGACCAATGCTGACGGTTCGCCTTCAACTAAAATGTATTGCATTTGTTTGTGTGCTTCTTTTGTTTTCGGCAACGTCTTTGAACGCGCAGCTCAGCAAGTAAACCAACTCAGCCCTTGCAGTTGACGTCATACCACACATACGCATACAGTTTAAAAGCATATAAATAAACTATAATGATAAGTTAAATATATTTACATATAACGATAAAACACAGTGTTCCAATGTATGTTGGCTTAAGCAGCTTAGTATCTATTCCATAGCTGGGTTTTAACATTTTTTATCAACGTATTTAATCCTTCAAATTCTAACCATTTGCCCGCTTTTGAATCTATTATTAAGAGCACTTTGCCAATCTCCCACTGCACACACACCCTATCCTGGGGCTAACCCCAATGCTTTGGTTTCTCGAATATATTTCATTTGAGCGACTTATCACATTTGCCGCAGCAAAAGTTTTAACGAAAATTTAAATTTTGAAACTGCCAACATAAACATTCTCTGCCGCTTTTAAGTAAGTTTGGAACCAAGCGCGGAGTAGATCATTGCATTCTTTCACAAGTGCACAGTCAGAGACAAAGGAAATCCATTTGAACGGTACCAGCTCACGCTAGTTAGTTAAAGCATGCTATATCCCAAATTTTCTATTTAAAAGTAATTTGGCTGTAGATTGCATCCCGCCTGCAGCTACCGCCATAGACCGCCTTCTCTGTGTATCACAAGAGTGAAATAATTTGAAGTGATAACGATTTTAACAGTTTATTTTGCGTTGTTAAGTATGCAATAAAATTTTAGAATAGCTAAACACTTGCACTCACACACATTCTCCACACATACGCAAACCTAGGCATGCAGATTTAGTTGCCGTTTTAATTCAATTATGTGGAATGCGGTTGAGTTCTCTCCGAACTGCGTTTTGGAAATAAATTCAAAATGCTAATAAATTATTCTGCGATTTTCAATTATAAAACAAAACATGAAAATTAAACAATTCAGAAAGAAATACTGACTTTAAATTATAAATTTCAAGAAGAGTTTGTTCTTCCTCGACTTAAGAATCATGAGGAATTCTTCCTTTGCATAGTGAAAAGCGTTAATTGCATTTAAAAATTTACGCACATGCATTTATTTCCTTATTTATCTGCTTATTGTTGTTTCTCTTCCTTTCCAAGGAATTAAACATGTTGAGTAGAATCAGGGTGCACTTTCAAAGTTTCTTAATTACAATAACTAAACCCCGGTATGAGGATGTAGTGGAGTGGGTAGGCATTGTCTGTGAAAACTATAACAAATTTGTTTCTATTCGAAATTTAGTGTGTCACGATAAGTTGACTTGAAGACGTCTTTTAATTCAATTAAAACAATAACGATTTCAGAAACAAGTTCCAAAATTGGCTTTAATGAGCAAACAAACAATTTTTTTTTAAATAAATTTTAGTTTAATATTGAAATGCCGAATATTCTTATATTTAATTAAAAGGTTTTATGGTTTCTTATCAATTTAATACACTTAACATTAGGGCCAAATTTTTAATATTTAGAAAAAACAGCAAAACATATCCAAATTTTTAAGGAATACACATGAAAATATTTGATTACATTTTGCAACAAAAAATTGTGGTTGTGTCTTCAATGCTAATTAGGCAAAAATTGTTCCCATGAAGACAATGAGAAAAAAGAAAATGAATTGTCTATAAAAAAGTCAAATTAATTTGATTCTCTTATAATAATGGACTTACCCTCGCATTGTCGAGCATACTATAGAGGTCAAATGACTTTTAAGGTATGCTTTTCATTGATTCTAGAAAAATGATCAGAGATTATGTTTTCCTGCGCTCTTGAACTCAAAAGATTGCAACGAATCTGTCGGAGACACTATTTCAAATACCTTATGGTGATAAACCGCAAAAGAAAGATGGTATAAGAAGATATATTCGCTAGTACAAATGATAAAAGAATAAATTAACCCAGCAGCTTACATTTTGGGTTATATTTTAAAAAAGCTACATATAAAACTGACATGAATGTTTTCATGGATAGTTTCTTATAGTTCCTACTTGTTTATTTCAGCACAAGCAGTCAATTCGTAAATAACAACCACATTATTATCAAATGATTATAGCTTTTAAGCATTAAATTGAAAATATAGATGTGAGTGATATGTGGTTTTAGTAGTACGATTCCACAAACCACACAACACTTCCTGTTTTGTCATGTGTTGATTATGCAAATTGGCCACCAAGATTATGTGATTTGTCACCATTGAAGTTTTATTGTAACGATTCCCATATGATCATGTCAATGCGGAAAATTGATAAACTCTCCAGTTAAAACATTGACGTCATGCAAATATCCATCATCCATCAAACTAGCGCCAAGCTATATTTGGTTATATGTCAACAATTTTTCAAATATAACAGTAACAGTAACCAAAGGACATTGAAGTGATCGTGAATTTCACACCTAAATGATCGTGTGTTTCGTTTAATTTTACTTTCGGAATCATCAAATAGCCTTGCATCATTTAATATAACATTGAGAGTGAAAATGATTAATATTATGTAAAGTTTTCGTATATATAATTTTAGAACTTCTGTTTACCTAGCACTGTGTAATAAAAAAAGGTGAATTCTCAAGAAGATGGTACGCAATTTAAGTATAGGAGGGTGCCAGTAAACTTCATAACTTGCAAATGTTTTACTCTCTAAGCTTCATATTGATGTGCACACCCAAAATCAAATTAGGAAGAGATATTTCTTAAAATATTGTGATCAACAAGATTCCATTAACAGTGCACTTCTGCAAATTGGGTCAATACGTTAAGGTCTGGCTTCATATTATACTCTTACCAATGCATATACATATGTACATATGCCTTTGTATTGTGGATTTTTGTTTTCCAAATTCAATTTGGCAGCACATAAAGCACAGACAACCCAAGCGAAAGGAATCGAAGCAAGAATAAAATGGGATTGGTTTGCTGATGTGTAGAAGTATTGCGGTATTAAAGTGCCAAATGCTGAGCTACGGTGATGCTGATATATTGCTTGTAGAAATGTCGGAACTTTTACATCCAGCCAGAAGAAATCAATAAAATGGCCAATCACGTTCCAAGCAAGAAAATCTTATTGTGTGATGATGATGAGGATGACAATAGTTTGAAGCACATAAGGCAATGACAGCTAGTTAGGTGTTAACGATGACCCCAACCCAACAAGAACCTACAACACTAGCCATAATTTAAAGTATTGTCATTTGTCATATTTTTATTGTGAACTGCACGTTTCCGTGCGGCACTTGACATCTCAATAAACGCACTGATTTCTTTTTTAGTTTGCGAATATTTGTGCAAAACTTGAATTTTGCGTGTAAATAAGCAATTTTTCATTTACAATACACAAACCTTTTTTTTGTACTAGAATAAAGAGGATTCAGTGTATTCAGAGGAAACGCGTAAATAAGAAATTTAAAAATTACCATAAATTGAGTTGAGTGGGAGAGAGAGCCAAATGAATATTCTATTCAAATCCACAAAAGCGAGGATAATCTGCGTTTTCACCATTTTGCACAGTATCTATCAGTAGCGGAAAGCCGTGGCTCATGGACCCACCTACGTCATAGTGCCCTCGTCATATTTGACGGAAACCTTAAGAGGAAGCCGCAGTTGATACCGCAGAAAACACCAAGAACAGAAATATTAATTTCACGGCAAGATGGTGTTGAGTGTGTTTAATAAATCGTTAAAGTGTTTATAAGGACGCATTAAATGAAAGAATCAGCACGAGCGGCATTCAAGGATGTTTCGAAAACAAGCAACGCGCCGTCATGTTAAATTGAATGAAGCATGTAAACGTCTGTATTCCTGTATTCGACGGTGTGGGACGAATGTACTCGAACTTAAACACTTACGAATGTGTTGCTACGTGCATAGTTTAATTTGCACATGTGTGCTAGCTTTGACGCGCAACACGTGCTGAACAAATTTACTTAGGAATACTTCCGGCATAAGCTGCTGGCATCGCCTTCAAAAGAAAACACGCCAGTCATCTTTAACTCAGCAATAAACTTTTACTTAGAGTTTTCCACAAACAGATATGCACTTTCCGAATTTCTTATTTTGTGCCACTCACAATCACTTCTGCGAAAATCTAAAAGCTTTAAACAAAAATATGTATGTACATTAAAACTTGTTCATCCCTTTATATGTAAGGATACTACAGTTTGTGTCTTTGAAGAAAAAGCGTAAGAACGCATAATAAAATGAAATCCATTTTCCATTTTCTCATGAAGCCTTAATCAAATTTTGTACATTGGCAATTTCCCCACAATTTCTTTTTTATATTGCCGGCACCATTTACGCTCATAATGCTGCCTTTTACATCCCGTTGCAGTCCTTATTTCTGTTGCAATAATAGCGGCTTTAACTGACTTTCTGCCTTCACAGCCACAGCGTCGTCTTTATGAAATTTAAAATTTTATAATAAAAATTTCCGTTTGCATAAATCAAAAGTCGTAGTCTAGCAAACTAAAATAAACGTCCTTTCCGTAAGGCATACAGACAGACGTTCACAACAGTGTGGAAGGACATACGTAAACACACATACAAACATCCAAAACAACCAAAACACTTTCATTTAAGTGCCCTGCAGTATCTCATTCTTCTCAAAACGTAGCATGGAAGACTATAAGCGGACAGGGCGAGAGGCAATCAAAAAATAAAGAATCCCAACCAAGCCAAACCAACGAAATAGACTTCTGAGTAATTGAATTAGCCGACATTGTGAATGATTTTAAATGGGTTCAAAACAATGTGAGCGAGTTGGTTTGCGTTGGAGTGAAACGTCTTAAATACGAAGCCCCAGCCGTGACATGAACGTTGCTTGTAAACTTAATATTTGAAATAATTTTGAATTTCAATATCCTGCCATGCGTTCTTACAAAAAGCGCAAATCACTGCAACTGCAGATTCCTTGTTTTTAATGGAAAATAGCAAGTACATCGGGAGAGGAACAGCTTGCATCCGGATATTATTTCTAGTTTTATAATAACAATTAATTTTAATTTTAACCACTTTGAAGGTTTAAGTGTCGGAATTCTTTGCTTTGAAATCACAATTTTTGTACTATGTGCGGATATAAAAGTTTGCACTTGTAAAATAGCTTCAAATGGTTACTTACAATTTTCCCAAATTAAAGAATTTTCTGAAAATTTAGCGATTTTTTTTGAAGTTCAATTATTTTGAAACGTTTACCAGCACATGAACATATTTTTTCTGTTCAATATATGACAGATTATTAGTAAAAAATATATTATGGCTTGGGCTTGGTATTTTAAGTTTTTATTACATAAAAATCAGCTATTGAAATTTTAAAAAAAATATTTATATAAAAAAATGTGTGTGAAAAAGGTTGAGTTTTTAATAGAGGAGGAATTATATCATAATCAATTGCTAAGAAATGTTAACCAAACTTGAACAAACTGAATTAAAAAACTTTCTTCATTAGAGACAAAAAAAAATGTATTGAACTGAAATTTTTTCTATGAATTTCTGTTGAAATTGAATCATTTTTGAAGTATGGTATAACACCTGATAAGTACCGAAATACGATACTGTTGTAAGAAACTGTCGAGAAGAGATGATATATGTTCCACAAACGGTGACAAAGTCGAAATCGACGACATAGAACTTCATACCATATATTTAGTAAAATTGGACGTGTAATATAATTGGGAAGATTGAGCTGCGAATACTTTGTAAAACGATTGATACGAACTTATACCAATAATTATCAATACCATATATGTCTCACAATTTGTAGAATACTTGTAGAATAGAATATATATTGAGCACTGGCTTTAGCAGAGTAGAATATTAAGATCATGGTTGATATTTTGCGCTGTTATTTGTCTCTAACGGAATGGAAGATATTCCATCTTCCAAATGAAGACCAAAGTGTCAAATGTTGACAACACCATATTTGTTCAAGAACTCCTGGCCCATTTATTTTCTTTCACCACAGAACAAAGCCGGACAGTCATAGAGAATGCGCCTAGAGATTTTATCTGCCTGCTAGCAGAGTTGACATTTTGTTTTTCGGACAGAATTTTACAATAAAAAAATATAATTGAGAAATATTATAATATTTTTTAAAAATTTGTCAAATCTTTCAATGGTTTCTTTATCAACCATATAGAGAAAGTGAATATGAAAAGAATCTGTAAAGAGAATTAAATGCTGAAGCCGAATATGGCTGTATCTACCAAAATGAGGACCATATGTAAACTTAAAAGATGCGCAGATTTGGGTAATACCATCGTTGATGTAAAAACATTTTCTTTAAACGCAATAGTCTTGCTTCTAATCGTTCAAAAGTGATTGAACTGTAATAAAATATCAATCATGTTTTTTATACTAGCATCCTAATACTTGGTTCCACAATCTGTGGACTAAATCTATATTTTCTTTTTTTTATATATTTTTATCTTTATTTTTTTTTTCAAAGTACTAAATAGTGCTCAATAATTGTAAATATGCAACACATTTACTTAAAGGTTCTTTGATAATCTGCTTATTTGTTTGTGTTTTTAAAACTTAAAATAGACCCGAGGTGGTCACTAGGTTTCCATAACTCATTTCTATTCATTACGAATTATTGTGTCATCAATAAGCTTCAATTATTCAATTCAATTATATTCAATTATAACCATGCATATGCTTGTTTCCTCTTATCCTATTAATTTTCCAATCATCTTTGCAATTAAAAATAAATAATTTCAAACAAGATAATAAAACAGTTTTTATTACTTTTCTATGACATCGAAGCAGACAGTTGTGGAATCAATTCGACTGACTAAGCATTTTATTACTTGCTAAGTATCTCAAACACGTTCTAATCAAAGTAACTGCAATATCAGCCATCAGCGTCCATAACTCCGAAAAAATTTATTTGGCATTTACAAAACTCATCAGCAGAAGATAAATTTTCACAGCATAGCTCCCAAATCTTAACTGAAATTATTAATTATAATTAAGTAACGCTGGTCATAATCCTTAACTCAGATAATTATTAATAAAAATGTTATATGAAGACAGCCGAACTAAGCAAACACACATAACAAATTAAATAAATAACGAATTTTCTGTTGGTAATTATCTTCAGAGATGTTAAGCAACCAGGACCCAATAAGGGAATAACTGTGGAAAAACTGGGTAAAAATAAGAATCCAACAACAAATGCTTCAAAATTTATGTGGGTTTACAATGGAGCGAAACAATGTCGAGCTCCAATGTAAACGTAAACGTAAACGTAAATAAAGAACATAAAAGACAGAACATCAGTTAAGCAAAAGAACAGAACAGGACAGGACAGAACAGAACAGAACAGAACAGAAGAGTGGAACATCTGACAATGCAATCCATTGGAAAATTCCGATGTTAATCGCCAACAATTATTCATATTTGCTGAGTGTTTACGAGCATGGATATCTGTAGAAGGACCACCGCGAATAGAGCGTGTGCGTGCAATGAATATTTCAGAAAAATGCGATAATAAAACAAAACCTAACAGAACAGCACGGAACTGAAGCCAACTGTAATGTTTTCGTTGCTGCTGAAGTTGATGGCGTTGGCGGTGCTGCTAATAATGATGATTAAGTGCCAATGAAAGCTTAAGACACACGGATGAATAGCCGAACAGACAATACAATACAAAAGTGTGTAATTGAAAGAAGCATAGAAGGAATACCACTTACCGTGAACAGCGCTTGAGGCTTGAACAACTATCAACATCGTTAACCAGAAGCAGCAGAGGCAAAATAAACAGCAACAACGACTCGATCTGCTGCTGTGCTTCATTATTCGCACTCCTGCACTTCACTGATAACCCGCGTCACCCAGCAGCTCAACTCAGCGTTCGAACGCACCAGCATTCACCTTTGTTGCAAGTGGACCGAGGCGAGGATGGCGCGTCTATGAACAGTAACGTTACTTGTCGTTTGTTTCAATACAAAACAATGTAAACTCGTAAAAATGTTGCACAAACTAAATTAGTTCACTCGAATTGGGCGCGATTAGATTGTGTGAATTGGGTTTGTGTGAAGACGCAAGCAATGGAGGCAAAAATCGCAGTTGAAAAAGTCCTGAATAGCAGCAGCCAATTCAAGTGGAACACTTCTCTTTTAGCTGTCCACCTTCGGTTTTTTCGGAGTTGATTTAACTGTGCGGTGTATGTGGTGAGCTTGGAATTTATGGCGAACGTTTATCGTCAGTTGCGGAAGTGGTCCTTCGCTGCAGCTGAGTTGTGCACTATCAGCTTTGCCTGCGTGCGATGCACTTTTGCCCAATTGGGATCTTTGCTTCGGCTGAGATGTGCTTCCGTGGTTTCTGCTACTGTCGCTTCGGGTTTTAATTTCGTTTCAGACGCTTTCTTTATGTTCAAAATTGTTGCAGCGTCAAACCACATCTAGTTGCGCCACAGAAGCTGCCATTTAAGTCTTTTTTGGGCTTTTCCTCCTTCTGGTGTGTTATGCAATTTCTACTTTCTCTTCTTTGTCCACTTAACGTATGTTTCTCGCTTTTATTGCAATTAGTTCCCTTTTAGCAATTGTTCTCTGTGGTAGATCTGTAATGAAAGTGCAAAAAAAACCTTTATGAATAATGTTAATTTTTACATTTCGAGTTTTTAAGTAGGAAAGGCAACGATATTTTTTCAATTTATTATTTGGTTTTTATTTTTTTTCTTTTTGTTTTAATATTTTTCTTTCTTTCACCAAAAAAATGTCGACTAGGAAAAAAATGAAAAATGTTCGGCAATATTTCGTCCTTACTCAAGTCGTGCATTTTCTTAAGTGCAGCTAGTGAAATATTTGCCGGGATAAATTACAGTTTTTCACACTGCGACTAGGTCAAGAGGAAACCAAGCAAAATGGGATTAAAGCTCATAAATACCAGAAATACAATTTTATAAAAAAAACTGAAACTCTGTAAGGTGAAGTGTCGAAAAAGTAATGGTTTGTCAGATCGAAAAAGGTGTTAACCGCGACATTAACGAAGTCATGGGTACTTGATTAATGTGAAACTCTTTTTCTTCCTTTAAGTTAGATATAGGACTTTTAGTTTTTTAATATAATTCGATTTAATTAAAAAATTATTTAAAATTAGTACTATACAAAACAGTCTGAAGCTAAACATCAACCGTTTTAGAGGTGTCTTAGTACCTACAAAATATCTATCTTGTAAAAAAATTCAAATAGTGAAGGTAAGTATTATTGCAATTAGTTCTGTAATGAAAGTTATATTCAATCATTTGATTCTCTTTGTTAATCAAAGAAATATTCTACAAAAAAAAGCAAACTATATGTGAATGTCACTGATAATAAAAATGATGAAAACGTTTGGCTGCTGTAGACATTTTAACATTTTTTTCTTAATTTTCTCCAAATTCTACAACATCGGTTAAGAAACGTATTTTTCACATATACAAACATGTCACATGGCAAACACTGCTAAAGGATATTCAATCTCAAAATTGTATCTACAATTTGAACTTCAGTAATATAAACACTAAAGGGTCTTTCCTTTTAGTTTGCTACTCTCAATGGAACATATAACAAAAAGACTGCTACTGAACAGGTTAAAAGATAACCGTTAATGAGAAATACTACTTCATAAGAATAATATGGTTTTAGTGAAATACACTTCAACTACAACTAAAAGGATAGTTTTAACAAGTAAGAAAAATGGAACCAAAAATTACTTATGATCATCTTCGTCACCAAGAAATTGGAAAGATAAAGAAAATTATCTAGGTAGAACGGTAGATAATAAATTCAAATTGCAGGAGGATTTCGATCACTCTTACAAAAAAAAGCTGAGTATTAACAACAAAATGTGTATAGATAACACAAATTATATGACTTAGCCCTTTACACGAATGCATTGCTTTTGGTAAAGCGTCAGATACTCCATAAATTACTTAGAGAAAAATCTAAATGCTGATCGCAGATAAATTATGGAGGCCCACTGATATGTTAGATACAATAACATTTATAAATTAAATAAGTAAATTGTTTGGTATTGTAAATTTTATGAATAGAATTGAAATTTTCCTATGTAATTTAAATATTTTTAAGGAATTCTTTAAAAGTAAGTGAACCGTTTGACAGCTTTTATAAGCTATTTGCACACATTTGATGAGTAATTTTTTTCGAAAAAAAAACAAATTTTTTTAAATTCTAATAAACAAATTTAAATAGTTTTGCTTAGAGATGTATGTATGTTATATTATTTCAATCTAAATATATCCATATATAATGGCTTTAGCAACATTTGCATCAAAAGTTTGTGAGCCACTACACGAGCTCCCAATTTAAATGGCCATTTATCAGTGGTCATCCTGCGGAAAACAATCTGCCTCACATGTACCACAAAGTCTGGACACAATCCACAAGAAATGCTTTATTGTGTACTGGAGCAATATATTAATTTTTAGGCAAGGATTAAAGGACTTAAATTAATTAATATGGTTTTTGAAGGAATTACGCAGTAAGTGCAAAATTTATACTTATTTATTTAAATAAATAAATAGAATTTTGCATATGTGTGTCTATGTATGAATCGAAGTGGGGAACTTGTACTGGTAGTGCAGCATTCCAAACATTGCAAACTGAAAAGTTAAGCTAAAAGTTAAGTTTTCATTGTTGGACGATCACATTTTGAGCAAATTGAGCTTATTTCATATCGGATTCTATAGCAGTGTAGGCATCTGTAACTAGCAAAGAGCTAACCTCCGGGAAGCAACTGGTGACCAATGCCCAGTGCTGTCGTACACCGAATATTCACCTCCCCTTAACAAACAGGAGTGAGTTTCGTTGTTATTTTATTTTTTCGCATTCTGCTTTTTGAGTTCCTTTGAAATTGTCCTGCTTGCGCGCTTTATGTTTTGGCTTTGTCAATTTTTAAGATTTACAAGCGGAAACGGATTCGGAAGTTTAAATGTGTCTTTTTCAGAGATTTTTCAGAGTTTTTCTCGTATTTTATTCTATTGTTGTTAGTGTTACTACCATTTAGTTTTTTCTTGTATTTTTTTTTTTGTGGCCAAAATAGTTTTTAGTCGCAGAGCAGCAACTGTTGTCAAGCAAAGTCAGACAACCTAACAAAACTAATTGCGAAAAATTTTACGTACTTGAATGGAAGTAGGAAATTACAAATATGAAAAACTACAGAAACAAAGTGCACATCCAAAAGGAAGCGGAAATAAGATATTCTTCATATGTGTGCTGCACAAAAGCATAAAAAATATTTATTGATTTAATTTAGTTAAAAAAAATTCTTTAATATGTTGTTAAGGAAACTCAAGTATTCTTGCAATATTTGAAGCGTTTGACACAAGAAATGAACGAAAGATAAAATAAAATGTCACGCTTCAACTTGTTGTCATCTTTTCGTATTTTTTATTATAAAATTATTTTTCAAGCATTATTAAAAAGTTTTGATATTATATAAAAAGTCCTAAGCATTTCGTATTATATAACAAAACATACGATGTATAAGTATTTGAAGTAATTACAACCCTGCGGCGAAGTCTTACTTCAACTGGTAGTGTGCATTAGGTCTTCTTAAACATACTTTCTATAATAAATAGAATAATTATTAGAGTGCAGTGTGAATATATTATACAATTCTATAACATATGTGTTCAAAAACAGTCATAAACAGACTGTTTAAAACTAATGACACCGTCCCTTGTTTACCTTTCGCCTTGTTTACCGTTGTTAAGCTTTCTGAATTAGGTGAAACTTTATGGACCAAAGTTTAAAATCTTTTTATAATATTATTTAAAGAGATATTTGTAGAGAAGGAATAATTACCGGAACGCGAACAAAATTGATACTATTAAATAGCTCTAATAAATCACACTTTGAACTAAGAAATGCAAGTATCAACGATGATCCACATTTTTTTTTACGGGACATTTAAAATCGGCTTAACTTTCGAATTCGTCACAAAATATGGAGACACAGAACTAGAACTAATGGGGTGTTTCAAAATATACAAATAGACCAATGGTCTTGAGAAAGTCTAGAAGGCGTCGCGACGTTAATCTGCAAATTGAAAGAACAAAGAATGTCATAAAGAGTGTTATAAGTTCTAGAAAGTTTTCTATAAAAAAAAGTATTTAGACTAGAGATGGAAAATCTTGTCTACAATGAGAAAAATGGAGTGTGATTTTCACATGTTAAACTTTATCATCAAGAAAATGGAAAGACAAAGTCAAGTGTCTCAGTGGAACGCTAGATAAACAATTCAAATAAAAACATCATTTCAGTCACTGTTACAAAGGAAACTGAGTAATAAAAATTAAACAACAACGTTTCATCGCTTTGGCGTGTTGTTGGGAATTGAAATATTACTATCAGCATATCTCAACTTTTTCATAACTTTGCCAACCGTAGTCTAGCCACATTTTGCATATAATACCAGAATATAATACCAATCACTGAATTATAGTCAAAATTAGGCTAGCACCAGTTTCAGAGGAATTCATGACTTGAAGTCATAAGTCACTTAAACGTACTTACAAAACATTGATGTGACTGATATGGAAGAGTGTTACAACTGTATGAGTATGTTGTAAATGAAATTAAACGATTGACACCCGCTAGAGCTCATTGGAAATTAATTGTTACGATTAAATATTTTTGTAGGAATATAAAGTAGGAAAGTTCAGATTAATATTAAAGCCCCCAGCTTAATTATATACCTTAAAATAAGCAGTAGACACACTTTCAGATAAGTGCACTTAATGTGTATAGAAATCCACAATATTATTTAGTAAAGTAACTCAATCCAACATTGTAGTTAAGACACCCAAAAAGTATGGAGGAAAAGAATGCTGCAGTACAAAAATTAACATTTGATCAATGTCAAAGTGTTAATTAACAGCACCAAAATACGTGAATAATTGATAAAATAAGAACTGAAACGAAAAAGGAGAATACAATATGTGTTCCTACTAACTTAGTCTCCACATTACTATCTGCATTTTAAAATGTTCTATTGTGTAAAGCGATTTTAAAATATTTAGTTTTTTTTTTGAAAAAAATTAAGCATTCAAGTCTTATCTGTTTGCTTTTGAATTACGACCCCTCTACTCGGCGTACCGAATACACAAATTCTTCATAATTAAGAACCAAAAAATGTATCTCATTAAATGAAGTAAGATTGTACTCAGGCAAATGCGAATTTTCATGTTTTCAAGTTTTGTTTCGAATGTTCAATTTTCGATAATTGTTTAGAGTTTTCGATGTTGTACTGTGTTGTGTGTTGTGTGTTGTGTGAAGGCTTAATTGTTTTATCTTCTTGCGGCGCTGGCAAGAAATTACCCAATTATGCAATTTATTACACATACGAAATTGGAGATGCATTTATGCAAACTTGAGCGGATAGATACGCAAATTAAGTTAGCGTAAGGATGCGAAAGCGGAGCACCGTAAAGTCCAATGATGCGACTCACGATTAAATTTCTGCGGAAATTCGCTTTTGGCTCGCAATTTGCATACACACAAGAACCACTCATAAGGAGCAAACTATGTAGAGGGGGTGGAGCGGCGTAGGGGCGGT